GGAGTGAGCCCAGTTCCGTCCAGGGAGACGGGAAGCTTTGCTTCCTCCATCGCCGGGGGCAACCCAAGCCTCCTGCTCGCTCCAGCTTCGTGGCCGCCGCCATCTTTATGAGGGGAGTGATGGTTAATTGGCATATTACTCTTTTATTATTTAATAATATACCTGTTACATGTTTTTATATATATATATATATTTATATATATATATATATATACACACATATATATATATATATATGTATATATATATATTTAAATATTTTTATTTATTCCAGAGAGGAAGGGAGAGGGAGAGAGAGATAGAAACATCAATCATGAGAGAGAATCATTGATTGGCTGCCTCCTGCATGCCCCACACTGGGGATGGAGCCTGCAACCAGGCACGTGCCTCGACCAGGAATCGAACTGTGACCTCCCAGTTCAAAAGTTGACACTCAACCACTGTGCCACGCTGGCCAGGCCATGTTAATATATCCTATATAATAAAACCCTAATACACAAATCAACCAAATGGTTGAACAACCGGTCGCTATGATGTGTACTGACCACCAGGGAGCAGATGCTCATGCAGGAGCTGCCCCCTGGTGGTCAGTGCGCTCCCACAGGGGGAGCACTGCTCAGCCAGAAGCTGGACTCACGGCTGGTGAGCACAAAGGTGGCGGCAGCCTCTCCGGCCCCACTGCAGTTGAGCGGTAAGGAGAGAGGGGTCCCGGACTGCGAGAGCCCCAGACTGCGAAAGGGATGTCTGACTGCTGGCTTAGTCCTGATGGGGATTGGGCCTAAGCTAGCAGTCAGACATCCCCCAAGGGGTCCCGGGCTGCAAGAGGGCACAGGCCGGGCTAAGGGGACCCCATCCCACCCCCAGTGCATGAATTTTGTGCATCAGGCCTCTAGTTTTTAAATAAAAAATTTAGTGTGAATAGTGGAATTATTTTATATTTTTGAAAACTTTACTTTCTGGCTTAAAAGTATTCACCTGGATCGAATGTGGAAGTATTTTTTAGTTGGAATAAATTTATGAAAGATCACTCCCCTCAACAACTATTTGGTTATCCCCATGGCTTTTTAATTGTTTCATCATCTTGAATGGTCTGCTCAAAATACATTTCAGCTTGTCTATATTCTGCAATTTATAGTGCTCAAAATAAGACAATCTCCTTAGGTTTGTGGTCAGATCAGTGTTGAAGACAGTTGCAATATTTCTTAAAACGAAGACAGTATAATCATGCTACTCTACGGGGAAATGCAGGCAACCCTCGTTTTATGGTGCTTCACTTTATTGCACTTGACAGATGTTGCATTTTCTACAAATTGAAGGCAAGATCTCCACTAGCAAAAAAGATTATGACTTGCTTTATTGTGGTGGTCTGGAAGTGAACCTGCATTATCTCTGAGATATGCCTGTACTCACCAAAGCAGATCTCAAATCCATCCAATTTCTCCATCCCAGGTGATTACCATCCTTATCATATTAAAACTTAAATTTCATCACTTTATTCAAGTTTTCCCATTTGCACGTAGAAAATCTAAATTGCTCTCACAGCCTACCAGGTACTGTATGAATGGAATCCTGCCTTTCTAACCTTTTCCTGTACTCCATTCTTGCCTTGCTCAGAATACTGCACACCACCCTGGACATCTCTCCTTTCTTTAAGCGACCAAACCTTTTCCTGTCACACACATTGCATCTCTGGCTGGCGGTCTCTCCCCTCACTACTCTGTCTGGTGAATGCCTACTTAGCCTTCAGGACTGAGGTTAATTATTACTTTCTGAGAAACCCTCCCCTGAAAACCCGCCACCTTCCCTGCCAACCTCCAGCTAAATTAGATTCTGGTTATGAGTTCCGACTCCTTTATGGCACTTATCACAATTTTTAATTACGTATTTGTGATAATTTAATTGGTATGTCTCTGTTCCACTAAATAGGAACTGTGTCTATTCTATTCAAAATTATATCCCCAGGGCCTAACAGGTCTGGCATATCTTACACTAAGTAAATAACTTGAAAAAAAAATTAGTAAATTAAGGCCAAAGCCAACACTTCATAAAATACCACAGAAACGTATTTTTAAGTTCATCCTCACAGACTATTCCTATTCTAGAAAACTTTGTGACAAAGAGATAAATCCAAGAGACAGCACAGGACAACTTTTTGCTGAAAATATGCACTTTTCTACAGACACTCATACCTTCATTGGAAATCTAAAAAGTGTCTGATTCTGGTTTTCTGAAAGCGTGGAGCAGGGGGTTGTAACAGTCGAAGTGAGAATTTATAATGCTTCCCAGGTCTCCCCTTCTCATAATAATTTTCTTTTAAGGTAGCACCCATTACTGTTTTTAAAAATGGTTCAATTAATAGGAGGTAAATGTGCTAGGGTGAGGGACTGCGGCATGGAAGGGTAACGGAATGTGGGAGGGGGAGGGACTGCAGCCTGGAAAAGGTTACAGATTGTGTCAGTGTCAGGAACCGTGGCAGAGAAAAATTGCTAGATTGTCTTAGAAAAACAATGTGTTATGATATGCTCCAGCCAGGTGTGACTCTGTTTACCCCCCCTTTGTGCTTATGAACTTTCTGTGAACTTCTAAGGAACAGCGAATGAAATGCTTTGTATTTTTTTAACACTGTTTTGCTATAAAGGATCATACTGCACCCTTGATCTCTGCCACATGCTCCGAATCTCCCAGACGGGGAGATAGGTGCTGTGGTCAGCTGGCCAGCTTAATAAAAGGCTTTTAAATTTAAATTCTGAGTCGGTGGTCTATCTCGTTGAGCCAACCCATAACAGTAAACAGTCAAATGAATACAGCTGTCCAAATACTAGTAGTTCTCATACCTTTTAGAAGCATCTTCCTGTTTCAAGGTACTTGTCTGTTTAGTACCTAAAATCAAAAAACAAACAAAAAACAGGTCAAGTTCTACCCGAATACATTAGGTTCCAGGGCAGATTCCTGCCCAAATAAAGTACCATCTTTTCCTCTTTTCCACATATCCCATTTCCGATCCTGTGGAATGGGAATCCAATTTGTATCTGTAAGTTAATGACTCCAGAACCGTTCCCGGTTAACATGTATCTCTTTCGGGGTTGAATTTTCTCTTGTAACATAGTTGCAGTGATG